GCTCCTGCCCTGTGACCCCGCGCCCCAGCGCAGCCGGAGAGCTACCATGGCGGGGCTGAGGCCGTGGGGCAGCGCTCTGCTCCTCCTGGCCCTGCTGTTCCCCCTGGCGCTGCCTTTGGAAGCCGGGAGGGAAGAACTGCTGGATGCCGCCGCCGCCGCCACCCCTTCCCTGCCGCTGATCCAAATGCTCCTGAGCCAGGCGCCCCCCAGATCCTGCCCCCCCGGTCGGGGCCGGAGGCGAGCCAGCGGGCAGCCCCTCCGCTACATGCGGGACCTCTACCGGAGCATGGCGGACCGGCACGGCCGGCCCCGCAGGGACTGGCGGCTCTCCAGCAACACGATCCGCCTGGTCCGGCCCTCGGCCAAGGCCCGCCAGGCCGGGACAGGTGAGTCGGGGCTGGGGCTCCCGCTGGGGCTGCCTGCTGCCGGGCTGGGCGCTCAGCGCCTGCTGGACGTTGCTGGCCGGGGCGCGGGGCCCGCAGGCCTTGCGAGGCCACCGCGGTGCTGGGCTTCGCCTCTCTCTTGAGCCACTAGGGCCGGCGCAGCGACCTGCAGCCCCTCGCCGGCTGTTCTTCACCTAGAGCAGCCCAGGAATAGGCCGAGGTCCTGGGCAGCGCTGCCTCTTGCCCAGGGCTGCTTCTGCCTGGCGAAATGTTTCTGAGCAGAACTTTGAGGTGGAAAGAGCGGGAATGAACTTTCGTTGAGCCAGATGTTTCGTGGGCCTTCTTTGTTTCTAGCAATTACAAGATACTTGTGGTGCAAGCATGAGCTGCCTGTCTTGCACAGTAGAGTAACAAACTATTTTGGAATGCTGCACTTTTGCTGGGCCTGGCTGGGGGACCCCCATCCCTGGAGGACCCCTTCTTGCTGTTTTTACTGCCTTCTGTGAGGCCAAGGGCTGCAGCTTCTCTCTTTTTATTGTGAATGCCCCAAAGGTGGGACGCTGCCCCCCATCAGTGAGACGGACAGAGTGGCATCACAGAAAAATGGGCAGGGGCCCTTTTTCAGCAAGGTTGGGGGGCACCAGGGGGCCTAAGGTGGCTCTTGGGGCCGGGCATCTTCTCTCTCTGCTGCAGTTCTGACCCCCTTCATTGTTCCAGCAGGCCCCTGGTTCGTCTGGGCCCTCGATTACCGCCTGCAAGTGCAGTCACCAGCCCAGCGCCTGGTCAGAGCTGCCGCAGTGTACGCCCAACGCCCGTCCTCACCTCATGGCCCCCTTTGGTGCACGGCCACCCTGCTCCCCAGTGGAAGCACCCTGCCGCGGGTGCTGGTCAGCCTGGCTCTGCTGAAGAATATCACCACCAAGTCTGCCATGGAGAGCTGGGTGGAGATGGACCTCTCATCAAACCTCCAGCCGTGGGCCTGGGCTGCCCGGAAGAGCCGCCTGCTCCGCCTGCATCACGCCTGCGCCTTCTTGGGATGGGCCTGGGGCTCTCCCCCTGGGCCTGGCTGGGGGGAGCCCCCTTCCCCGGAGGATCCCTTCTTGCTGCTTTACCTCAATGACACTCGGAAAACCCTCGGGGCTGCCCTGGGGGACTCTGTGCCTTTCCCCAGGAGACTCCCCCGGAGTTCTGCCCATGCCCGCAGGACACGCCGGGCTGATAAACTGGCTCTTGACCTCCCCAGCTACGGCCGCCCCCCCAGCGTCAAGCAGAACGAGTGTGCCCTCCACCCCTTCCGCGTCAGCTTTCGCCAGCTGGGCTGGGACCACTGGATCATCGCTCCCCACTGGTATCGGCCCCAGTACTGCAAGGGAAGCTGCCCCCACATCCTGCGCTATGGCTACAACTCCCCCAACCACGCTATCGTCCAGAACTTGATCAATGAGCTGGTGGACCAGCATGTCCCCCGCCCCTCCTGCGTCCCCTACGAGTACAGCCCCATCAGTGTCCTCATGATTGAGCAGAACAACAACATCCTGTATAAGGTGTACGAGGACATGATCGCCAAGTCCTGCACCTGCCGGTGAGCAGCTTTGGCTGGGCAGCCCTGACCTTTGCCCCGGCTGCGTCCCTCTGGTCTCTGGCAATGAACTCTGTGGGCTGTAGAATGGCCTCCTTTTCTGGGCTTCGATTCACGTTCCACCAACTGCCTCACCAAGAGATGATCCAGATTTTAATGCATTTGGCAAATTTTCACTTGGATCCAAGACGCTCCTTTCGCAATGACACAATGGACTAGCACCTTGGTTGGGCTGTTTTACGAAAGGATTTTTATGCACAAGTTGGCAAATCCTTCTCCTCCTTTTTACAAGAAAAAGAGTGCGCTGGCACTCCCGGAACAATTTCACCCTGCTAGAACTTGGTGGAGAACAGCTGAAGGAAACGCAGCCAGCCCGCTTGAGAAGGGGCTGTGGTGAAGCAGGTGGGTCCACGGAAGGCGGGGGCTCCCCCGGGAGGTGTCCTGAGGGCATGGGAGGAAGGGAGTCCCTCTGCTCCCGATCACCAGCGCTCGGTCTCAGCGCTTGTGTGTGGATCTTGATGCTGGGAGTTGCGGCCCCTTTGTAGCCCAGCAGGTGGACTGCTTCCTGTAGTCTGGTCGGAAGAAAAAGGACGTGCAGGTTCTGCAGTCACAGGTTTCTCTCCCCCCACCCCCCCGAGGCCCTCCTCCCCCCCGCTCTTCCTCCTCCTGCAAGGGCTGTGTGGTCTCTGGACTACTCGAGCCCCCATTTTCTGCTCCTGCTGCTTGAGGGGCACTGCTCTGTTGCCAGTTCTTCGCTTTGCTGCTTGTACCCCTCACTCTGCAAATAAAGTCACGCTCACTGTCACCTGCAATCTCGGGAGACGTCAAGCAGTGAATTCCTGAAATATTTTTCAAAGAGGGCCTTATGGCGGGGCAGGGGTGGGAGGGAAGAGCCCGCTGCGAGGGTGCTCTGCTTCCGCGTTTTAAACCAAACCAAGAGGCTCTTTGGGAGTGTGGTTGTGTTGCAGTGGGTTGGGGGCTCGCTTGCCCTGACCCCACCCAGGAGAGATGGCCGTTTCCACGGCCTGGCCAGGGCGGAGCCCCC